CACTGCAAAAGGAAGGTCATGTGGAGTGCATTGCATTGTGGGATACGGTATTTTGCACAGTCGGCTCAATATGGCTATTGTGACTGCCTGCATTAGAGAGATTCTTGCCAAACATATGAGATAATGAACACCCATGCATAAGAAATAAATGAAACTTTTCTAAATGAAGTGATGTTCAGGTTTTATATTAAACTGAACACTAACCTTTACACATTGCTCAAGACTGTTAGATCTGGTTCTTGAATAAAGAGCCATCTGAGGTGCACATTTGTTATTCTTTATTTAGACGAGAGAGTTCTTATGTTTGCATTTCTAATACACCTGCCCTGGAATTACTGACTAAGCGTTCAGCAGATCACAACCCATAAGAAAAGAGCACAGGGTTTCAGCTCAGGTCTGTTACATAACCCAATCCTTGTGACTTATTCAGAGACCTTGTTAATTGAAATGCTCAAAACAATCCGGTGTAACCTACAGACAAACCCTGAACTGAATCGTTCCTGATTAAAGTTCACTCTCGCCAGATCCGTTCCAATCTGTTTGTTACTGGATGCAGAAGATAGGGATTAGCCATAGGGGAGATGAGCCGAGCAAGTGGCAATAATCTCCCTGAAGCCATCTTATCCTATTAGCTCCATTAATCACCTGCTAAAACGATCCGCTGGACCAACAGCAATCAAACCAGAACCCTGCTGATATCCTGGGTAAAATCAATAGAAATGCCCATAGGAACCAAAAACCACAAAGGAGCTCTCTTATATCTTAACTGTTTCCTCTTGACAGCAATGATATTAAATGGAGGGTACCTTTACTTTCTCCGGAGAGACCACAGCAGGGTTCCCACATTTTTCATCCAGTGAATTTCAATGACTTTTACAGTCATTCGCAATAATAACCGGTAAAATTATTTTTCTAAATAATATAACATTTAAGTGAGAAGAAAGCATTTATTTATTGTTTTTTTTTTTATTTTAGAGAAAAAAAAATACTATCAAAAAAAAAACCAAACAAAAAAAACAAAATTTTTCCGGCCCAGAAGCTTTTTTTTTTTTATTCTAGGGTAAAAAAAAAAATACTATAAGAAATTACTAGATTATTTATTATTTTATTCTATAATTTATATAAATATATATATATAATTTTTTTTTATTATTATTATAACTACTATTTAAAAACACAATTTGTCCAGGTCTGGAAATCACATTTTTTTTAAATTCCCTCATATTTTCAGGCACAATTACAGGATCCCAAATGTCTGGTTTTTCTCAGTGTCTCTGAGAAAATGTTAAGATATTTCAATATGAACTCATTATTCAAAATGAACAATATTTCTCCCACAATCACTGTATAAAAGGTTTTAGCAGAGCTTTCAAAAGAAAGTGAGACCGGACGTGAAAAATACAATGAATAATACAGGAATAATGACAACTAAATAAACATACAAAGCCATTCTTCTCTAAGAAAATACGATTTAAGTTTTTCTACTTCAAAATTTCATGCGTAATTCAATGTGTTAATTGCCGTTTCTTTGTAATTTTTCTATGAAACATTTTAGCACTTTTTGAATGAAAATTGTACATTTTTCCCCAGTGTAGTCCAAGCGAAATTCACCTTGCCGATACTCACTGAAATCACTGGATTTTGCTCAGAAAATTTAGTAGATCAACAATAAACTTGGCCACACATTCACATGATCTAATCAACCGTTTATATATTTACATAATTCTTAGAAAGCTACGAGACAGCAACCTCTGAGTAATAGCAGTTCCCTCTGGGTCATTTCTGATTGCATTTCTCAGCATCCCATGACAGAGGACAGCAGTACACCCATTCATCTCTTCATCATGAGTTTGAATGGGGCCTAAAATGAGAAGAAACCCACAGCAGAGCGTCAACAGACTGTCAGGCGTTTGGAGTCATTGCGGAACTCGTGTGTCCGGACTGATTTCCATCTTTACACTCTCAAAGCCTTTAATAGCACTGACACACTAATCAGATCACTTACCTGCTCAGTAATCGCCAGGTATCAACAGAAACCCAGTTTTCACCTACAGAACCTGTTCCGAGCAGGAAGTGATTGTGAAACAAAGGCATGCAACGCTAATGTATCCGAGTGATGTTAAAAGATACAATGACAGTAATCTACTCATTAAACACAATATATGAGACACTGCAGCAGATATGCCTCGTTAACCACACTGTCCTTTCAAAAGCAGACAGAAAAGAAAACAGGATGTTTATGAGAGATGGTGGTTATAATGTACTTCGCCTGAACGTTTAAACCTCATATTTGTCAATATTGTTAAGATAACACATTTTATGTTCATTACAAAAATTTAAATGTGATGTTTTTTTTTGTTATATACACATGCTTAAACAGCACAGTAAACATACGTCTAACGTTAACGTTACATTAGTCAGTCATGTCTGATATTACACTCGCTTTAACTCGCTATATTGTAAAATCCGCGGGTGTATGAATAAGTGCAAATTAAAAACAAAGCCTGAATTATGTAACGCTACAGAAAAACGTTGAATTTGAAAGAAAGGGAGAATTAGAAACAAAAAAAACCGTCCATCTTTACACTCTCAAAGCCTTTAATAGCACTGACACACTAATCAGATCACTTACCTGCTCAGTAATCGCCAGGTATCAACAGAAACCCAGTTTTCACCTACAGAACCTGTTCCGAGCAGGAAGTGATTGTGAAACAAAGGCATGCAACGCTAATGTATCCGAGTGATGTTAAAAGATACAATGACAGTAATCTACTCATTAAACACAATATATGAGACACTGCAGCAGATATGCCTCGTTAACCACACTGTCCTTTCAAAAGCAGACAGAAAAGAAAACAGGATGTTTATGAGAGATGGTGGTTATAATGTACTGCGCCTGAACGTTTAAACCTCATATTTGTCAATATTGTTAAGATAACACATTTTATGTTCATTACAAAAATTTAAATGTGATGTTTTTTTTTGTTATATACACATGCTTAAACAGCACAGTAAACATACGTCTAGTTAACGTTACATTAGTCAGTCATGTCTGATATTACACTCGCTTTAACTCGCTATATTGTAAAACCCGCGGGTGTATGAATATGTACAAATTAAAAACAAAGCCTGAATTATGTATCGCTACAGAAAAACGTTGAATTTGAAAGAAAGGGAGAATTAGAAACAAAAAAAACCGTCCGCCACCGTTCTTAGCATGATCTGGCTAACAGTGAGGAAGACACCAAACACTGAGGCGAGACGCTGAAGGACAAATAAAATGTCTTGTACTCACCTTAATACCGAACCTTTCCGTTATTTTCCTTTCATTTACGAGGGATAAAAACCATCCAGCTAATCCATGTGGGTTAGTTCACGACTGGAGACACGGAAAAACATCACAAACCCCCCGAAATGCAGCGCTAGATGCTGGAAAGCCGAAGAAAGCTGCTGCTAGCTGAGCGAGCTAATGCATTCTTCACCTCAGCGCGCGACGGAAAGTTGCCCACAGCTGCTGGGAAGTTTTCTTGCTGATACAAAACAAAGATGTTTCGACGAGACAAGAGATTTACAAAAAAAGAGTACGTATAATAAACAGAGCGACCAAAAAGGTCGCCGAGATCATTAATTTACATTGAGACGCGATGGAGCAGTGAAGCAGCGCTCAAACACTGGACAGTCTGCACTACAGTTGTGCTAATGATTCGCCAGCGAATCGTTCTTGTGATCGGTTCTTTTGAACAATTCGATCGACCTGATTCTGTAAAACTTTGTAGTTATCGTGATCGGTGTAATCGGGGTTTAAGAATTTATTATTAAAATCTAGTGCTGTCAAACGATTAATCGCGAATAATCGCATCCAAAAGTTTTTGTTTACATAATATATGTGTGTGTGTACTGTGTATATTTATTAAGTATATATAAATACACACACATACATGTATATATTTAAGAAAAATATGTTACATTTATATATTAAATATATTTATATATAATATAAATTATATGAATATAAATATATACATGTAAATACATGTAAATATTTTCAAATATATATACTGTATGTGTGTCTATTTATATATACATAAAAATATACACAGTACACACACATATATTATGTAAACAAAAACTTTTATGTTGGATGCGATTAATCGCGATTAATCATTGGACAGCACTATTAAAATCATAAACAGTACTACGCGCTTCAAAAATACTATGTCCAAAATAGTAATACTATTTTCTTTTTTTTTTCTTTTTTGGTAAACAAAACACTATTACAAACTGTAATATTTATTCACTACTCCTTTAGGTAAACCTGCGTGAGAAATTCAACGCATTAGTGAATCGCATTTGAATCTCGGTTTGTTGAAGTGAATTGTTCGAACGAACCGACTCGCTCAAATGAATCTTACGAGGAAAAAAGGTTAGAATGTGGATGAAAAAAGAGAGAGAGCTCGTATAAAAGTAGTACTTAGTCTCTAGCTCATATTTTATGAAATAGTGACAAAATATTTATTTCTAACAAACTTCAATGTCTGAAAACAGTTTTATTTAATAGATAATCTATAAATAATGACTCGTATTAGACTACTATAATAAGTCAAAAGGTGATGTTTGTCTCCCCCTAGTGTTCATTTTAAATTGCCTATGACTTTTCAGGGCAAGGATCTTTTTGTACGTAATGCCCGTTGCATACTGCATAAAATGAGGAATTTTAAGTCTAGTACATAATAACATGCGTGTAGTACCATATTAATGAATTTACATACTTATTTACATAACGATATGGTGCTTGCGTTCCAAATCCGTAAAAACATTCATTATGGAGGTACAGATTTACATACTTGCACATTACATTGTCATTTCACTTATATATAACTAGTATTGTATTTTATTAGTGCATACTTGAAAAATGAGAAGGCCAAGATAATACTGTTGCATTAAAGCAAATATTTACGTTTATTAAAATTGGTATTTGATTATTAATGACATCAACACAACACTGACAAGAAATGAGGCAGCTTGACAAACAAAACAAATACATAACATTTCGTTCTACATTACACTGCAAGTAAAACTAGAAAGAAAACTAATGACATATGTGTCCTTGTTACTGTAAATTCAGAAGTCCATTTCCTGTCGTTCACAGTCCAAAGTCAATGCCAGGTTTGTTCTGTAAAGGTTTGTGTGAGTCCTTTACACTGAAAAAACGCATCCTGGCAGGGTTCTCGACCCAGGAACGTCTTCAACATATCCATGCCGTCCACTGAACCTCCTGCTTCCAGAACCACACGCCTGTATTCCCTGCCCACCTGTGCATCAAATACACACAAACACATTCATATAGACAACAACATGGCACATAATCATAAAAAAGATGATTAAATGGTGTTATTTATAACTGGAATTTTTAATACACGCATTGTTCTAGTCAAATCTAAGTACTCTGTGTACCTGTGTAATCAACTTCCTCTAAACGCAGTGCAGACTCATCCTTCAACAATACTATGACTAACTATGACACACACACTCGTAGGTATTAATAGTTTTACTCACGATTTGTACTATTTCTGTGGAATGCTTTATTATAAATAATATTTGTCTATTCTTAGCAGATAATCACTCAGATTCACATGACTGCCATCTGCTGATCATAGCAGTTCCACATAATGAACTAACATGTGCGTCACTCTTGATAAGAGTCTGCTACATGCCCTAAATGAATATGAATGTAGTAACACTGGTAAATCAGTCATATGCTAACTATCATCTGCTATTGTGACACAGTTCTTGATGAGGGTTCTCTATTAAAATGCACTTTGTCATTATGACACAAAAAATGTGAATCAAATGTTTATTCACGCTCAATAAGGAAAAAGTCAAATAGCAAGACTCAAACCTTTGGATTCAAGATTCCTTCCTTTTTGAAGCGACTGAAGAAGATGTCCATGGAGTAGACTTCACTCCAGAGGTAGCTGTAGTACTGACCGTCATATCCTCCGGCTAAATGACTGAAACTAGCCGCCATATTTGTGCCTGCAGAGAACATGTGGAAATACTGTAAATATATAATTAACATTGAAGAGCTGATTACACATGTCCTTTGCTTTAAAAATTACTATTCAAATTATTATAAACACATTAGGAACAAACATTAGTAAAATTTATTTGACGTCATGGCATTTAATGTTTTAAATAACATTAAATAAATACAAAAATAAAGCCTTTAGCTATGGAACCACACTTTTAACTGCATGTAGTAAAAGTTTGTGCAGTTTTTTTTCTCACTTTATTTATGTAACAGTCAGAATTTAGTTTTTTATGATCATTTTCCATCCTCTCTGCGACTTGTAGAATTAAACAGACGGATTTTGCTTCTATAAAGGATTGTTCACAGAGAATGCGTTTTTGTGTTTAAAATGAAATGCAGAATCAAAAAAAGTAAGTTCAAGAGATTTTGGGGGGGGGGCTTGATCATCATGTTTTTATAATGCTGTGTCATATTTATGAAGAAAAGCAGTGCAGTGGATTTCAAAAACACTTTCTGTGGCTGTTTACACACAACATGTTTTTTAAGATGCAAGACACAGGGAAGTTGAATGATAAAGCAACACAAGAAACATGCTTTTTTCTAAAGTTGAACTTCTTTTAACTTTAGCACAAGTGTTTTTAGGATGGCGTGTCGTGTGAGACACTGCAAAAGATGTGAGCGCAATGGTCAAACACAATCTGCCAGGCTTTTAGTGTTAAACAGATAGATTTGACTTCTGTACCTTTAAGGGGATGTTCACAAAGAATGCCCTGTTGTGTTTAGAAATGCGAGACGCATGGCAGTGGAATGAAAAAAAGTCAAGGTCTATAGATGCCTTGATTATCTTGTTTAAGAAGAAACCCTTTAGAAAAGCAGTGCAGTAGATGGCGAAAAATACACAAGATTCTGTGGCCGTTTACTTGGAACTTTAAAAAATATCTGAAGACTTTGCGTTTTTTTTTTTTTTTTTACATTTCACCACCCTGTCTCGTAGGCGTGTAACGCTCCATCGATATGGATCGATCGATACATCGATGAAATGTAGATGTATCGATTCCACGCATAAAATATTGATACCTGTAGTATAAATAGGCACCTTATTTTGGCACTGTCCAAATTTTCACGCAATGTCCATCTATGCATTACCGCCAAACGCGTGCATTCTCGTTCAAACTCATGTGTCACGACTCAATATTAGGACTACCTCAAGGCACAAAGCGAGTGTAAAAGACTGTGTGTTGAGCGCTGTGTGAGGAGACACATTTTTAATTTTTAATTATTGTTACTAGAGTCTAAAGACTAAAGTCTCAAATCCAAAGAGAAATTCTTTATAAAAGTTAAGACTTGTCCACGCCCTCCTAAAACGCCTCATTTAAACTAGCCCCCACATGTCTACGTCACTGTGTGGGAAGATGTGCATAATGCCACCCAAATGTTCATGCAAAGAAAGAAGGAGTAACTTTATTGTTGCTGCCACCGGATCCTTACCCACTTCTTTGCATGTGAAATGAGTGAGTAACAATGTTCACAGCAAGCTGCTGAATGCTGGGTATTTGTTGAAGTGTTAATGTGCTCAGAGTTGAGGTGTCATAAGCGTACTGAGTCTGCGTATGCGTTTATGACCTGGTGTGGCTGGGATTCCCAGGATGTCTTCGCTGTGCTTGGCAAACTCGGCTGCAGTATCCGCTCTGTCTTTAGTGTGGAGCGTCTGGTCAGCTTTACTGAGAACAATCTGCCTGAGGTTCATCAGACCTGCAGACATGGACATACAAACATATGTTTGAATATGTGTGAATTATCACTTTACCACAAATATATAGTGCACATTTTTAAAGTAATAGCAAAAACTGTCAGTATCTCAGAAGAATGTTGCAGTAATTAAGTGTAGTGAGTGTAACAGTTACTGTTACTAAAGGAACTGACTGGTTACAATAATGAAACAGAGACTTTTAAGTTTTGGCCAATATCAATAACCAATATTTTATAACAAGGCCAATAACCACTTTTCTTTTACAAATCTGAACATGCTTGTATGTTTTCATCCCCCACAGGGTTCCGTAGTAGTAGTTATTTATTTTTATTGCCATATCAGTATCTACGGCTATCTTTGTGGCAAAAAACTGAGTTGGAATAATACAAAAATATTGTCCTATCCTAACAAACCATACATTAATGGAAAGCTTATTTATTCAGCTTTCAGATGATGTATACATCTCAATTTCTGAAAATTGACCCTTATGACTGGTTTTGTGGTCCAGGGTCACAATTTAATTTCAAATGTAATGAAAGGCCTATACAGTATATGTTACTTATTCAAAGCTCAAACACCTATTTTATAACACATAGATTATATTATATAGATAATTATGTATGTGTGGTCAATCTGACCTGTGTTGGCCACTCTAGATGCAATGAGTTTATCCAGCAGACCGTCTGGGATCGGGCTGCCATCTTTGTAGTGGCGAGACATCCTCCTGAGCGGCTCCTTCTCCCAAACCCAGTTCTCCAGCATTTGAGACGGCACCTCCACAAAATCAGTCTCCACCTGCGTCCCACTGAACTCTGCGTAGCGGGTCTGGAGCAATGCAGGGTGACACAGAAAATCACATCTGGTACCACCACTTACATTTCCGCTTACACTTTATTTTAAGGTGTCCTTGTTACAGTGTAATTATACATTTAAGTACTGAGTAATATTAATTAACTACAGGCACTTACTATATAGTTAGGGTTTGGCTTAGGGTTACTTGCATGTAATTATGCATAATTAATTGCTACTATAATAGTAAGTACATGTGTAACAAGGACACATTAAAATAAAGTGTACCACATTTCTTAATGATTTGCTATTTTCATTCAGTGTGGTCTCAGAATTTTGGACCTTCTTTTTCTTTATGTGTGAGAATATTGCCGTACCCGGGAGCAGAGCTCATGCATGACATGTCCAAACTCATGGAAGAAGGTCTCCACCTCATGGTGCTGCAGGAGGGAAGGCCAGCTGCTTGTGGGTTTTGTGAAGTTGGCCACCATGGCAGCTACAGGTATCCTACGTTTCCCATCAGCCCCGAGACATCCTGGCTGGAGCCCAAAGCATGCAGCATGTCCATACTTACCCTCCCTGAAGAGTAAAACAGACCAATAAATCTGGATCAAGACTATTTCTGGTCATTACATCAAATGCCAATAAGCCAGTTCCTTAGAGAAGGACATGAAGTATTCATCGGATTTCATCTGCAGACTCTTAAGAGAAAAGCATTGGGGTAATTTAAGTTAACAAACCCTGTTTAGTTTAGATCAGCATGAATTTCCAGGCTAGTGGAAAATTTTGTGTTATTTTAAGATTATGTACTATTATAGTACTTATTAGAGGTTTGTTTGTTTTGTATTTTCAGTTTTAGTTTTATTTTAGTTTAAATTTGATTAATTGTTATGTGCTTACTTTGTATTTCTATTTTTTATATTTCTGTTTTATATTTCTATTCAGCTTTAACTCTTTTATTCACCGCAACTTGAATTAATTTCAATTAAGTACGTTACCAAAGCAACATCTTCCCATCATATATATATTTTTTATCTAATATTATATTTTATTTCAGCTTTATTTCAGTTAACGTGATTAAAGTTAATAGTTTTAGTTAACAATAACAACACTGGCTGATTATGGGTCAATGACATATAATGTTTTTTTTTTATGATACACCTTTAACACATCTACGTTTTTAATGGTGCTGTCAAATGATTAATCGCATCCAAAATAAAAGTTTTTGTTTACATAATATATGTGTGTGCACTGTGTATATTTATTATGTATATATAAATACACACACATGCATGTATATATTTAAGAAAAATGTTTATATATTAAATATATTTATATTATATTAACATAAATGTATGCATGTAAATACATGTAAATATTTTCAAAATATATACTGTATGTGTGTGTCTTTATATATACATAAATATACACAGTACACACATATAATATGTAAACAAATACTTTTATTTTGGATGCGATTAATCACGATTAGTCGTTTGAGAGCACTAGTTTTACATAACATTTTTCAAGATGTTATTTTAGATGTTTAAATATATTTAGGATTTTTTATTTCATAGCTAAGTTAATTCATAAATATCCTGATGTTTTTGGGACTTGCACCACATGACATTCTATAATTGAACTAACATTGCCTTCTCTTAAAAAGGTCAAATTAAGGCTTACTGACCTTGATAGACAGTCAAGAGGGTCTCCTCCTTATAATATAATTTCCTTTTTTTCTGCATGTTGGTTGCACCACATGACTTTTTATGAATGTCTTGAACGGTTTACCTGGGATGCAAGTCCAAGTAAAACTGTCCGATCTCCTCTCCAGTCACAGAGTCTAGTACGGAGTAGAGTCTGACGCTGTCGTGCCACACGAGAGCATCCTCCACCCGCTGGAACCTCAGACCCAACACATCCTGATAGATGTTCGACAGCCGGCGTGTGACGCGTCTTCTTCTTCTTCTTGCTTTACGGCGGATCGCAGACTTATAAGTGCATTACCGCCACCCATTGACACTCTATCTACAATCTCAATTAGGAGTGTCAATGGTCCATTTGAGAGATAGGTGGCGGTAATGCACTTAAAAGAAGAAAAACACGCGTCACGCGCCGGCTGTTGAGAACGCGCTCAGGACAGTTTGGACATTGCGGTGAATCAGAGGTAAAAAACGATATAAATACTGTTCAGTTTCTTGCACAGACCGATCGTTTCGTGTCTTTACACATCAATGTATCGTCACGAGCTGCAGGGTTTAATTTGGTTTTGTTTGTGTATGTTTTTTGACTCTCAAAGCTGTGATTCCCATCCACTTCCATTATAGGACTGACAGACTGCAACGGTTTGAGTTAAAAATCTTCGTTTGTGTTCTACTGAAGAAACAAAGTCACCTACATCTTGGATGCCCTGGGGGTAAGCAGATAAACATCACATTTTCATTTTTGGGTGAACTATCCCTTTAACTGAATGCAAAGTCTGATTAAAAGCATGCACGAGTTGAACCTACATCTTTGCACCTGCTGTGAAAGGCCATCTCCATCTTCCTCCTGGTTTCGGGAACATGACATCTTTTCATCAGAGGGAAATAGTGGGGATATGCAAGGGTGACTTTATACCGCCCATCTTCTGTTTTCTCAAGACCGTTCACGTAGCTTTCCGCAAGACCCACTCGAGAAAGGAAGGAGGAAAACTGTGTACAAGATGAATTCACTAAAACAGAAGTTATACTATAGATAAACATGCTTACCAAGCTCTTGTTGCGAGAACAACAGCATTGTATTTTCTTCATTCAGATTTTGGTTGAAATCAATGGAGAGTTCACTTATTTGCTTAGAGATTGACTTGATTTCCTGAGTAAAAATGACAAAACATTAAAAGAGCAATAAAAAATAATCAATAACTACTTTTTTTTTTTACATTTTCCAGGGCTCAACAGTAAGGATTTTTTCTGGTTGCAGCTCAGTGAGGCCAGAATTTAAAAATTCTACTTGCCCTGACAATTTTTCATCTTTTCACTGGCTAAACACAAAGCGGGGTTTCTGGAGATTTTATGTTGGTAAATGTAAATTAAAAAAAACATGTCTTATATTAGCAATATTTCAGAGTTTGAAAATACAACTTGAGGTACAATACAAAGTGATTTTTGTCTGGTTTTCCAGATTCTTAAATCAAGATGCATGCACTTGAGAAGCAAAATGACATTTCTGAGAAATGGATCAAAAGAGTTAATGATTAAAACAAGAAAAAAATATATGCCAATGGGGTAAAAAAAAAAAGCTCAATTCAATTTGTATGCCCCACCAACAAATGGGTGTTCTTGTTTAAAGCTTAAACTCAATTTTGTTACATTTCTCATAAAAGACTCCATATGTTCAGCTTGCATCTCAAATATATGCATCTTGATTTAAGGATTTTTGTTATTTGCACTGGAAAACAAAACAATCGAGGAAGATATTCATAATTTGCGGTACATGCCATATTTAATGCCTTGACTTTATGAATTCCTTTAAGACTTTCCTTTTTAGGCCTTAATTTGAGAAAGGACACATTTTTTAAAGACCCACAGAAACCCTGCAAAGTTATAAATATTAAATTGTTTAAATTAGATTTACATTTATCATTTTAATATTATACCTTCAAATTATATTGTTTATTTGATATTGTATATTTTATATATGATTTTAAATGTACATTTATTATTTAAAATTCATTGTTATTATTATTATTATAAATTTTCCACACATAAATGTCCTTTTTTTCAATGCCAAGTTTTCTTTTTGCAAAAATAAACACTGTTTTCTGCAGGGAGGGGGGGATATTTGCCTGTTTTTAGCAGCAGATGCTTGGGTGTCCATTTCTATAATAAGCCCATTTATACACCAAAGTTTGTTAGTAAGCTTTAAGAGTTTGTTCAAATTCATCCGCACACAAGTTTGTAGTAAACAAGCAAAACAAACCTACTTCTTGCATATCCTTGGACAAGTGCAATCCGTTCCGTTTCCCTAATTTTATGAGTCGTCCCAGGAATCTCTCAGACTCGGGCAATAAATCACCGGATTGTTTTTCCTATAAAGATAAAGTGGGAAAGGCTGAGGCATGCACTGTGAATGCCTGTAGTTATGTTTACTGCTGCGGCTCTGACACCAGGCCAGACCTGCACTACATGGGCCCAACACCGCGCTCATGCTTTCCTATGAATGGAGTCTTCCACAGGGTCACAATGAGGACACACCATACTGGCCTTCAGAAGAAATGGTGCGATCATTTCATTACAGCTCAATTAGACGGGCAGTAAATGCCCTGGAGAGTAGAATTAGAGTAGAACTGCAGAAAATAGCATCCTGCTCACTCCAAAGAGAGATCTCCACTCAAATTGTCCAATTTTTATGTGCAAATCAGCTATATGAAACCTCAATGGGCTCGGCCAACACTGTCAAATGCCTTTTTTATGGGTCACCCCTGTAAAACTGGACCTGGCAGTCAACTTACCAGATGACTTTTTAGGACCCAGAGATTAAGTTCTCCAATGATGAGCGCTGACAGATATTAATGATCTTATATGACCCCATAGTAATGACCTCCAATCATAAAACAACAGCACATATTCATTCAAGACAATCACCCACTAAACCATGTAATAAGCAGTTGATAATAATAAAAAGGGTTTTAACATTTAAAAATACTGAACTTGAATGGAAAAAAAATCTAATTAGTTTGTTCCAAACACAAGATTCACTCATCTTCGAAATACAAATGAAGATATTTTTTATGAAACTTGAGAGATTTCTGTGGACACACCACAACTGTGTCCAATATCGCATACTGTCTTATAGGTGCTCCATTTGACTTGAAACTTGAAAATAAAATAAAAATAATATAGAAGGATAATACAGGAAAAAATGAAATAAAAATAGAATAAAATAAAATAGAAGGATAATAAATGAAAATAATACAGAAATAAAATAAAATAAAATGGATGAGTGCAGAGTAGCAAAATGAATCAGAATCATTTTTGTGCATGACTCTGCATTGTGTTACCTGCAGAGCTATAAGTCTCTGAAACATGTCTACCCTCATGCTCACTTCCACATCGAAATCCGACAGGCGTTTGTCAGCCTCGGTGCTCGCCAATCTCACCTCTTTACATGGAGAGACATACTGAGGAAAGTCCAACACATGCCGTGAAGCTGAAACAGAGCACAGAACAGTGAATAAGACAACACAAAAACAACTTTACATTAATATGTACGTTATTGTTCCACCGCTCACCTGCATAATCTGCTTTTGCATCTGCAATGACTTGCAGTGTATTCTCAAAGCACACCTTCCCAATGTCCACCGAGCCCACTGTGTCATAGGCTTGCTTTATCCGCTGGATCAGTCTCTGTGTCTGGTGTGTGATCTCTTCTGGGGTCAGGTCCCACCGCAGGCTGTTGTTCTTGTCAGCTGTGCTGGAGCAGCTGTGGGTGGATATGACTGATCCATTCTGAAGTGTCATCTTGAGCTTTGAGCTGGACAAAATGACTCTGCAATGTTTTAAAGAGAGAGCCAGTGACTGACCACTGTGCAAAAATTAGTCTGCATGCATTGCATGTGCACTTGTATGTAGCTTCTCGTAACTTTAGAAAAAGAAAAGCTACACATTACTGTATACATAATACTGAAAGAAGAGAAACCCGAGTGCTGTGCAGGGCTGCATGCTGTGAATGTTTTCCGTACTAACGATGGGCACTTTCACATGTCTTTCAAAATAGGGAATGCGAACCTGATCTGCTTGTGCTACACTTACACTACTTCACATCTGCCAGTTGCATTGCCTACTTTTCAGAGAAGCCAATGAGATAACCTGACTAAAACCAGATATCCTCTCATACTAACGCTTTGTAAGGTAAGACCGAGTAAGTCTGAACATTTATAGTTTGTCTATGAGAGCCCAGTCAGGTTCATGCAGTTGGGTTACTACAGTAGTAATAATGGCACCCCAGTCAAACAACATAAAGTGTGTTAAATAACACAGAAATGCCGAGGGTAACATCGCATGCCTATAGTTTCATACGTGCAACGTGCAAAATTTGGATGCAACTCCTACCGTCACACTCGACTGTTAAACCAATACTAGTACTAGTACTACTACAGATGAAGGCTTGGAGTGTGAATATTAATTACGTAACCTGACGTTCTCCAGACAGAGCATTCTGATTGGCTACAAGGTAGACGCTGGTAGGCGGGAGCTAGTCAGCTGGCGAATTAATTAATGCGGTGAAAGATTGGCTTATTGATATTAAACAGATAACGGCGACACGATTTTTTCCTCTTCATTTTACACGTACATTACACGAAAAAGTACTTCAAAAGAGAGTTCCTTTCATTTCCTTTAAATTTCGATTAAAACAAGATAAATTAATTTAAGCAAATTTTTATGTGAGCTGTTGTTTATTATTTCCAGTGATAGATCAGTGATTATTTCCTATTTCTTTTTTTAACCCTGTAACCAAAAAATAAATAAATTATAAACATTAAAAATATAGGCCTACATGAAAAATGAAATGGACAACATATGTAAAACATTAAAAGTTATTTCATTTATTCATATTATTATTCTTCTTTTATTATTTCATATATAATAGGGGACACAGACATGCATATATAATTATTTCATTTTATTATTTACATTGTTTATATAAATAAATAATATCATAAATTCTAATGCATATCATTGCTCTTTTGTTGATTCTGATTGCTTCCATTGTCCTCATTTGTAAGTCGCTTTGGATAAAAGCGTCTGCTAAATGACTACATGTAAATGTAATATTATTTCATGTATTGATATTACCATAAATGTGTATATTATTTTATGACAGAAAAACGTTGACAGACTAAATCCAGAAGAACTGTGGCAAAGATGCTTCAAGAAACCTGCAAAGCTACAGTACTGTTAAAAGTTTAAGGCACTAAAAAAATGCTGTAAAATGAGGATGATGTCAAAAATAATGTCATAAATACATTTAAAGTGATTATGGAAAAAGTAAGTGAAACAGTGCTTTAATAACTGGCTGAACCACCTTTGGCAGCAATAACCTCAAGCAAGCGCTTCTTATAGCTGTGCATATTAGACCTGCACAACATCCAGGGGTAATTCTGGACCTTTCTTCCTTACAGAACTGCTTCAGCTCACCCATATTCTTAGGACGTCTGCTGAATGGCTCTCTTGAGGTCATTCCACAGCATCTCTGTTGGGCTGAGGTCTGGGCTTGACTGGACCACTACAAAAGGAGGATTTTATGTCTCCAAAGCCATTCTGTAGTAGATTTACTTAAATTTTTAGGGTTATTATCCTGCTGCATCACCTATAGCTTCTTCTGAGCTTCAGCTTGCAGGCAGCCACCTTGAGATTATCCTATCCTGATAAACTTGGGAATTCATTTTCCCCTCCACAATGGCAAGCGGTCCAGGGCCAGAGGCAGCAAAGCAGCCCAAATCATGATGCTCCCTCCACCATACTTCACTGTTGGGATGATGTTTTCATGTTGGCACGCTTTACGTTTTCGTTTTACACCATACATGCTGCATGTTCTTCCCAAACAATTCTATTTGTCCACAAGACATTTTCCCAATAGTGTTGTGGAGTGTCAAGGTGGTCTTTGGCAAACTTTATGCATGCTGCAATGTTTTGTTTGGAGAGCAGTGGCTTCCTTCATGGTGTACCTCCTGTTCAATGGTTTACGTATGGTTGACTCATGAACGGAGATGTTAACCAGTTTCAAGTCTTTAGCTGTTACTCTAGGGTTTTTTCACCTCATTGAGCATTCTGCGTTGTGCCTTTGGCGAGATCTTGGCTGGGCACTCACTTCTATATGGAGAGTAGTATCGTCTCTAGTTAGACAACTTGTCTAACTGTGGACTGGTGAATATCTAAAGTCTTTGAGATTACTCTGTAACCCTTTCCATGCATATCAAAAACTCTTGACCGGAGGTCTTCTGAGATCTCTTTTTTTTTTGCGAGGCATGGCTCACATCAGCTAATGCTGCTTCCCTGTTGAAAACCCCCCCGCATATGCTGGTTAGGAATGTTTTGAAGCATGACTGCTGGTTTGAGCTGGTCATGTGCTGGTCCTAAGCAACTAGCTCCTGCTCAGGACCAGCTTAAACCACCTCAAACCAGCAGCCATGCTTCAAAACATATGCTGTTTTTTTCAACAGGGTTGTGAAAAGCACACTGACACTGTTTGGGTGTTTATATAAGTCAGTTTAGCCCTAAACCACCCCTTTATTCTCATTTCATTGATTGGACTCCTGGTTTGCTAACATCTGACTCCTTTGGCATTTAGTGACACCAGAAGCCAGTGTTTCACTTACTTTTTCTACCATCACTTTGTATGTTTAATGAGTGTGCTCAATAAAGACACGAAAGATTATGATTGTTTGTGGGGTTTTTTTAGCTTAGAAGTATTGTGTTTGTTGATATTTGTTAATTTTAAGACCAATTTATGCAGAAAACCAGAAAATGTAAAATGGTTCTCTTACTTTTTTCTTGGCAGTGTACAGAGTTAATTGAATTCGAGTCAGTTAAGGCTATTATAATTAAATAAATAATGGACACACACACACACACACACACATTCTTGCATATGTGGTTTATGGGGACTCTCCATAGGTGTAATGGTTTTTATACTGTACAAACTTGTATTTTCTATCGCCCTACACCAATCCTACACCTAAACCCACCCCTCACATTTTAATTTCATAAAACACCATTTAGTATGTTTTTTAAGCCTTTGGGGACACAGGAAGTGTCCTTATAAACCATGTTCACGTTGTAGTACCTATGTCATTATACACATTTGTGTCCTCATAAACCGAACACACACACACACACACACACACACACACACACACACCTTATATAAATTAGCCCATTTTCCGTAGTACGATTCATAAAATCTTTATTGTAGTTCTCGAGCAAACATATTTCCGGCGCGGCTCGGCGGCGCATGCGCAATGCAGAGCGTCAGTCTGACGCGACGCTGTCTGGCGCGAGCGCTGCAGCCTCTTTCTCCAGGTAGGTGGGCGGGGGCGCGCACAGCATCCTCAAGAATATATAATCTTATTGATATTTTTGCGCTGAATATGAGATGCGGGGGTCCTGAAGAGCACCAGAGACCTACGCTTGCAAAGGTTTCTCCTTCTCTCCGGGAATTAAACTGCGAATGTGTTCAGCCATTGCAGCCTCCTGCAATCTCCTCTGTGTAAACCAATGTAAACATCAACCTTCTGTGAGGCGCATCTGCAGTTAACGGGGTTATTGTGACATATACCTGAGACTAAATCATATTTCATGTTGTGGGATGACATTCGGATTCCTTTGTCAGCATAACTGCCTCATATGTGTTTTGGCTTGTGCTATTTATCCATGAATAACTCACTGTGTGTTACAGTTGCATGAAACTATTCTATGTACTCTGTAAGGGGATCAGAACAGTTTTATATTTCATAATACAACCATATAGCTTTGGTGAGCAGAAGCTTATACAGTAATTGATAGATGAATGTTATGTAATTAACCCCTGCAGCAACATGACTTGTATAAATATGCTTAGTATAGAACATCTATGGATAGTCAAGTCGGTTAATCGGATCATTGTATTTGCACAATGTTCTGACAGCCTTGTCAATCTATACATTTATTAATCATGTTTTCTGTTTTATTGAATATTTTGGAAGTGGAAAATGTTGTCTCTACGGTCTCTTGTTATATGATTATTGCTCTTTCAGCTGACCCATCCATGCCAGCTTTTCCTGTAATGTTCTGTCTGATTCCTTTTTTCAACAAATCTTTCCCCAGATTTCTCCCAGACAAAATGGCAGTGGAAAAGCGCTTGGCGTATTCTATCGTTCAGTTCCTCAGAGATCAGACTCACTGTGGCTCGCTGAATTCAGATGAACAGGAAAGTCTGGAAGGTAGGTCACCCTCATGTTTAAAACATTGAAAGTCACAGACCTGTTTTACTCTTGGGCTGGCTGTTCAGATTCTGGTCACTGTTAGATCAACGGGACTGTAAATCACCACAGCAAGCTCTTGTACTTGCCTGTGTAACCACATCATTATTATTAGTGATATATCGGCCTGATTCATCAGAGAGGTGGATTAGCTGGGTAATATTTGATGAGATTATCGGCATGAACTGATAACCATCATTCAAGTATATTTTAAACGTTATGTTTTAACAAATCTTTTGTTGTGCTTTAAAGAAGTAGTTATTCTGACAAACATAGTAAAGCACAAGTACTTGGTTTCTATCATTTTAACTTCAGTGTGTTATTAGCAGTTTAATCTAAAGTTAATATATTAAAGTTAACGTATAAATGTACAAAATTGCAAAGTCGTCATTACAAATGTGTAATTACTAATATATGCATGAAAAGTTTCAAGAGAAATAACATTATATTTTTGTTTATCATAAATGCTTGTCAGTGCATTCAGCGGTACACTTTAACCATGCTGTATTTCATAAACAATACAAGTAATTATGAAATTAAATATACAGATGTATTGAAGTCCTATGTAACTGGGCCAAAAAAAGCACTGGAGAGCTCAGCAAATTGCATTTAATATAAATTTAAACTACAATATATTTTCATTTCATTGTAAATAACTTGCAATTAAGTGTCTAAAAGCAATACATTCAGTTTGCACTTTTCATATTTTGTAGTATTTTTTCATATAATAATAATAATTATTAATTTATTTATTTATTTGTACTTTTTTTCACAAGAACATGTCCGCGTGGCCTGTTAATGGAGCGGATAGCTATAAAACCCTTGTGTCAGTTCCACAATCTGAATGATTTGTCAATAATACATTATGAACATTTTCTGCTCTTATTTATTACATTTTTTTACTATTATTTCAGCAATTTTGTTTACATCTCATTTGTAATAATTAGATGAATTTGTGTATACATGAAATAATCTTTATGATCTTTAACTGTGGGCACTTTTGGACCAAAAAATAGAAAAAAAGCAGAAAAATAAACTCAATTTAGAAAATAAGCTCCCACACACTTTTCACACGTTTGTTAATTGTCCAAAAGTGTATGTACATGCATTACAGGAGCATCCTGGTATTTTTTCTAAACCAGCTCCATCACATTTCAAATTTTTTGACGTAATTTAAAGGACATTTTCAATATTTTTATAATAAAATGTCCAACTACAAGTCTGTTTGCATAGTGAGCATTATATGTATCCTAAATAGACACAAATAACTAATAATAAATAAAAAAGGCATACTTATTGCATAATTTAACTAAAATGCAATTCGCCTGGAAATTATGTTAATGAGTAATATTTATTTGTTATCACACATCACGTCTCATCTCAAACATGCTCTTCACTGACCGTGTACCAAGTACACTAATTATTGATATAAAAATGTATATAAAATATACACATTATTATTGACATGAAATGAGATGAAATGACATCACAACTGTGCAACAGTCATAATTTGTGTAAAAATGGGTATCATTCATTTTTACAAAATAAATACTGAAATTATTTATTTATATCTCAGCAAATCATAACATCACAGATTACATTTTACACTATATTCACAGAACAATTCAAAGAAAAACACTACAATGTTAGTTGTAGAAGAAACACCCACATATGAGCAGTGTAATGGCACTCTTTCTGGATATAATGGCACCTACTGAAAAAAAAAAATGATTACATTACTCTCCTGTTTACAGTTGCAGTACAGTGTCTGGAGACCACTTTCAAGATCAGCTCCAGTGACTATCATCTTGCCGCCCCTCAGCCGCTGAGAGAGATATTCCTCAATTCCCTCCTCAAAGTAACTACATTTATTACACACCGACCTGTTTTTCTTTCATTATTTTGAGTACTGTTTTTTTATTATTCAATATATTATGCAGCAAGCAAGATTTTCCCAAAGACTCTTGTCTAATTCTCGTTTACAGAATGATATTGTTTCATTACCTGAGACGTTTCCATCTCCAGAGGACATCGAGAGAGCTGAGCAGCTGAAAAATGAGGGCATGTCACACTTTCCTGCTGTATTTAGACTAAAAACACTTTTCAATGCATTTCTCAGGATGCATTATGTATAACTAAATGGCATCTGTCATCACATCTTTCCATTGTAATGATGCAAATAAAACCAGGATCAATAATTGATGAATGATGTATTCCCGATGCTCTGTGCACTCACATGCTTTTGTCTGTATCAGGGAATAACCACATGAAAGAGGAGAATTATAGCAGCGCTGTGGACTGTTATACAAAAGCCATTGAGTTGGACCAAAGAAATGCAGTGTATTACTGTAACAGGTGAATGCGTTGAGAATACGTCAGTCATAGAGACGTATGTTTTTATGGTTGGTGTTGACTGCTGGGATTGTTCTCTCAGGGCCGCGGCACATAGTAAGCTGGGAAACTACACAGAGGCTACGGGAGACTGTGAGCGAGCGATTGCCATCGACCCGTCGTACAGTAAAGCTTATGGCAGAATGGGGTAAGATGCTTCAATTACTGTGCCATAACGGTCAGTGTTGATATTGTTAACTAGAACTAAAACTGTTGAAAATAGCTTTTGTTCATTGAAATAATGCCGAAATTATGTAAAACACAAATATTAGATGAAAAACATGAACTTAAATGAAACTTAGAAATGTTGCCGTAAAGACTAACTATAAAAAAGTTATGCAACTATCAAATAAAATAAGTATTAAAATGACTAAAACGGAAATAAATATAGGAAAGCTAAATAGAAATATTAAAAAACAAACCAAAACTACGAAAAATGGCAAAAACCTGAACTAAAATGAAAATGAACAATTAATAGTATAGAAATAAATGCTAATTCAAAATATTAGTAAATAAGTACTTATAGAAATAGTACATATATAAATAATAGTATAGAAATAGTATATATAGTGTAGAATAGTATAGAAATAAATAAACATGAACTTAAAAAACTTAGAAATGTTGCCACGAAGACTAACTATAACAAAAACTATAAACAAAACGCAACCATAAAATAAAATATGTTTATGTATTAATATTACTAAAACTAAAACTGAAGTGAAAATATATAAAAGATAAATAAAAATATTTTTAAAAAACTAAAATACAAAAAATGACTCAAACGTAAATAAAATTAAAATGAAAATATAAAAATAAAAGGTCATTTAAAATATTGGTAAATAAATACTATAATAGTCTAGAAATAATACTAAATATACTGATAACTGTCCTTTCATTATTTGTTTAATTCATATGATTCTAAATAGCCAAGCTGTGTTTTAGCATTAATTTATTAATATTCCCATACAGTTACCAATTTGCCTGAATTAGGAATAAAATTTGTGTTGAGAACAAATTCCATTTTGAAAATATTCCAATTTGGTTTTATTCTTGAACATCTGTGTTAATAATACACGAACAACGTTGCCGTCTAGAATAGAATATAGGGATGTAACGATGAACCGCGAGCCGGATGAAAATCTATTAAAATATGTGACGATTCAAATCGGTTGAGATGCCAAACAAATCGCGATACAATTGGAGTAGGAGTTTATATGAATGTATCTCTGAAGGGAACTGACTGTCTTTAGAAAAGTTTACGTGGTATTTTCTTTTCATCTTGCTTCTGAACGATGCATATTAAAGTAGCGTTCATAAGCACAGCGCTGCTTTGTTTACAGCGGTAACCCAGGAAACACTGTATCACTGCTGTTCATAAGCGCCACCTCCCGTCAGAGAGTGAATCTGCGTCACATTCAGCTCGTCTGCTGTTTCGTTCAGATAGGCTATGTTTTATGCAGTATAGTTTCACAAAACTAAAGTCAGACCATTCTGTTTTTGCTTCAAATTTCGAAATTATACAGTCTAATTCAGATATGTTTTATGTATAGTTTCACAAAACTAAAGTCAGACCATTCTGTTTTTGCTTCAAATTTTTAAAATTATACAGTCTAATTTAGATTAAAAACTGCTCATGCTGCATGTATGCTGCATCTTTGTTTGGATGATGATTAAAATGCAGTGGTTGCCTCTAATTTTAAATGGAAAGAGCACAGACAAAGCCGTAGTTTGTTTATATGAAGAGATTTCTTTTATTTGTGTAACTTTCTTATTTGATTTAGTTTTGTTATATTTACATTTTACAAAGAAACGTGCTGCAATAGCCTAATAAAAGGATACCTTTTCATTTACTGTCTTCAATCTCATTTTGTAAAAAAATATAGTGAGAAAATCGAATCGTGAAATCAAAATCGTGAATTGAATTGAATCGAATCGTGAGTTGAGTGAATCGTTACATCCCTAATAGAATATGATGAAAGAGAAAAACCGAGTGCCATAAATAGCAACAACAAATTTTGTAATTGCAAACAAATCACTTTTTAAAGAATCAGTCTCATGAGTTTAAACCTCAAGTCTTGAATATTTGGTTGCGATGGTACTTTTTATTTAGTATTTTTGGTTAGGAACAATTATTGTACTAAAATTCATTAATGGAATCATTTTGGAGCAAAAAAACGAAAACAAAAAACAATCAATCAAATGAAACGGAATTAGAATCAGAATTACATTCCATTTGATTCCCATCCCTGCTGAATTATACAACGTATTTTAAAAGTTAATCTAAAATGTTCTTTTAACTGTAACCAGTATATTACAGTTACTCATTTGACAAAATGATGGTACTTTATCTTTATGATTCTAGATTGGCACTAACTTCTATGAGCAAGTATCCCGAGGCGATATCTTATTTTAATAAAGCTCTGGTGTTAGATCCTGAAAACGACACCTACAAATCCAACCTAAAGATAGCAGAGCAGAAACAAAAAGAAGCATCCAGCCCTGTGAGTAGAAGAAGCTGCATTTACATTTGATCCATCCCATCCATCATAGACTGTCAGTCTATCTTAGTTTTTTACGAATGTATATTGAGTATCCCTGTTGAGTAATTAAATATGAGAGCTAGCCAGTAATAACATGTTGTCTTCCTGCAGACGGCCACAGGACTGGGCTTTGACATGGCCAGCCTCATCAATAACCCCGCTTTCATTAGCATGGTATGTGCAAGTGGTTTCACATTTCTCTGTTAATAGTATTTATGAAAAGGGTCATAAATCGCCCCTGCGACCCCTTTCATCTGTCTGGAATGCAGCCCATGCCCGAGTTAAAGGGCCAGTCAGCTGGAGGCCTGAGGATGAGCGTGTGGTTTCTAGCACACTGCAGCAGTTTAGAAAATGGGACACATTCATAACAAGAACTCGCACAATTTTAAGACCTAAATGCACAAAATCTAAGACAGGGTATGAAAGCTTTGGTTAGAGTTGGAGACGTGAGTTAGTGGTTGGCAACACATTGAGCCGTGCTGCTCATGTGGGCATCTCAAGTTCGAATACAGCTTGTGACATTTCTAACACAGACTCGATGGAAAAATGAGCTTCTACTTTCATTTTTGCTCTAAAACGTACCTATATTTACAATTTACTGCAATTTCCATCTGAATTAAACACTAGAGGCTGTTCAATACTAATTATGAATGCAGGGGTAGATTACTGAATAATAGACTTATTTTTTACCATAGCTTTATAAATGTCTTTAATGTCACTTTTGATCAATTTAATGTGTCTCAGCTGAATACAATTTATTTCTGAAAATTCTTTCACTTAGTGGTTTGGACACACCGTTCAACACAACACATTAAGCTGTGGTGCTCATGTGGGCGTCACAAGTTTGAATAACTTGCGACATTCAGTTTCTAGCTGAAATGAACACTAAAGGCAGCAAAACAAATTATGTTTACAGGAGCAGATTATCGATTAATAAAGACTTATTTTCTTGTGGCTCCTTGCACAATGCTATGTTATGACCTCAAAACACTTTTCCCATAGTGCATTATTTGTTAACTAATACATTTTGACATTTACGTCACAGAACCAGCTCCATATTTATGGCTTTTCTGATGTAGTAAACTTGCTCAGTAGCGCACCTGGTACAGCACTTGCAATGCAAAGCGCTCAAGTCCTGTGAAACACCAGTCACAATACTCAAAGAGCACAAAGACTTGTAGAGTGGCATGGTTTTATCTCATGTTTGCTTTTGTTAAAGGGATGGTTCACACAAAACGGAAAATTCTGTCATCACTAACTCACCTCCATGTTGTTCATTTATTCACATTTATTTATGTTGGTAACCAAACAGTTGACAGTACTTAAGTGTTTGTAGACGCCTTGTTTTGAGGTGTTCAGTTTCATTTTCGATTTTAGAAAATAAACGTGGATTACTCTCCTCACAAATCGACTGTTTCTTGGTTTTCACTGGCATTTCTCTTAGTTGTCGAGGACTAATGCATCTTTGAGCCTACATTCTGTACGTGTAAAATACTTAAGTACTGTTAAAATCAGATACTCTAATAAGACTTTTACTCAAGTCATACTGAAATCGGTGACTTGTTACTAGTAATGGAGTCACTTTTGCTCTAAGGTATTTGTACTTTCACTCAAGTATGTTTTTCAGGTGCTCTTATTAAATGTTTATGCAACTGTGTATCCTGCAGAATTATGAAAACTATGAATCTCTGTCTTCTGGTCTATACAGGATCAAGAACCGAAGGAGGGAAGTCGTGAGTGCAATCGTTTAAATCATTCTTCTATTCCTATTCGAACCCGAGATGGAGGGCATGGCACTTTATATGGAAGCATCAGAAGAGAAGAGGAAAAAACACATTTAAAATCACCTAATACACAGAGAACATCATCTTAATACCTGAATGAAGTTTCTTTGTGTTTGTGTGTGTAGATAACGTTTCAGTCCTCTCTTTATGAATGTAGCTGGTAACGACACATCAGAGTTGAGTTTATTTTACTAAACGAATGGCTGATCATACGTTTGTGCCTATTAATTAGATGTGGGGCCATGGTTATTAATATCCAAGGACATTTTTAGGGATAGTTCAGTCCTTAAAAGACAATTCACTCATGTTGTTTGGTCATGACGGTGAGGAAATGATGACAGAATTGTCGTTTTTGGGTGAACTATCCCTTTAACACATTCTCTGATTATTTTTACTATATATTCTGTTCGTTTTAGGAACAAGAGACATTTGTGTGTGATAATCACTATATCGGCTGCCATCACCAGTCCTGTTTGTTTAGGCGTTTGATTCATCGGTAATGACAGCAAAATATTGCTGTAATAAGCATATTCATAATCTCACCGTTTCTTTTGCATGCGCCATATTTGCAGTCAGATGAGTGATTGAAGCTTATGTAATATGCTTCTAAAACAGAGCAGTATAATGTTTTTGTCAAAAAAAAAAAAATGTTAATAAATGTGTCTTGAAATCAATCTGAAGATGTTAGTGTTCATTGATATTTGGTTATTATTACCCAGAAGAAATGTCTCCAAACTCCTCGCACAGCCCACTTTTGTACAGGAAGCCTTTTATAATTGTTTTAACACACTTTTTAAATTGACATTTTATTTACATTAACAGACAGTTAAAATCATGATTAAGGGCTTAAAAATGACATTTTAAAACAGCAAGCTTTAAGGTAAAGAGCAGAAGGTGTTATATTAATAGATGCAGGACAGATGGGAGTTGGTCCATTGACACAGTGCAAAATGCCACAGGGTTTCAGCTCTCTGGACTGGTGTACGGACACACCACACAGACCTGTGCGATGTCATCATATTCATACGTCCTCTTCAGGAAGGTGTCTGTTAGCCTCAGTCCTGATATGCTCTAAAAAAAAAAAAAAAAAAAAAAAATGAGGGGGGAAAAAATGT